GGTGTGGCAGGGACCTGGCCGCTGCAGCAGCAAGAAGGGAGTTTAGCAGCCTGGGGCCAGGTGACAGATGGGACAGGCTGTGAGCTGTGTCTCCTTCCACCACCCAACAGTTAATAGAGAGGGGCGGTCCAGGCAGGGTGCCAGGGCCCCACATGATATTCCTTAAAAACAAAATCCTTATTCATTCACATTCCCTGTTGTTTACCTGAGCTGTTTGTTTTTTTTTTTCCTCCTGGGCTATTTCAGGTCTGACAGGTTTGTGGGGAAAGAGAAGAGCTGGGCTCAGGGCCAAGGGGAGGGTCTGGGACCAGTGGGGCCAGGAAGCGCCACTCCCTCTCCTACAGGGCCTGAAGGGTCCAGCTTGGCCCCCTACTCCGCAGTCTGGGGACCACACAAACCTCTTCCCTTCTCCTGGCCTCATCCAACCTTCTGGACCCTCCCTTTCAAAGTCAAATATCGCTCTTCTTTACCTTTGGGTCCTTGGTTCCAGAAGTTCTTTGTGTGGGGCGGGGTGGGGCAGCTCTGCATGATGGCAGTGTGGCAGGAGCCACTTCTGAACAAAGAACTGGTGAATCAGGGGCTGTGGGTGGCATCCTCTGCCCGGAGGGGCAGGCCCAGCAGGTGGGCACACGGAACCTCCCTCCAGCTCCAGATCTGGATCTCGCCTATTCTTTGTCCACATTCCTGTTATCTATTGCCAGGCTCTGAGCCCAGCCAAGGGAAGGGTGGGGGAGAACCCAACGAAAGAGGTCACCTGAGCCCCTGAAAAAGAGCAGAGACCTTCCCCTGCTTCTTGGAGTCCAGACATTCTTCCTATTGAAAGAGCTGTGGCCTACACCCCAGTTCTTGTATGCATAAATAAAATAAACCTTAAGAAAATAAAAGATCTCGCTCTTAAAAGTCAATAAGAAGGCCTCCGTGGTGCCACAAGGGTTAAGTCTCAGTGCTATGAAGCTATCACCAGCCACTGCAGCAGGAGTTCCATCTAGGCCAGGGCCTGACCCCCAGGCCGCAGCAGACCTCTCCTGTCTCCCCGCTGCTCCCCCCAGCAGTGTGTTATGGTAGATCTGCTCCCAACTCTGTCTCTGGGGAATGCTTACCACCGCCCCTCCACCTCGCACCTCTGGCCTGCACCCCAGTTCTCGTATTCATAAATAAAATAAATCTAAAAAAATCAGCAAGAGAAAAGCTAACCATTCCAGTAGAAAAGCAGGCAGATCACTTTGCAGAAAACAAGGAACATTTCATACAGTTATTGACAAATCACTGATCAATAAATGTATGAGAAGGTGCTTTGATTTACTCAAAACAGAAAACTGAAACATCACGTCAGTTTCCAGAATAGGGGCGGGGGCCCCCCAAATTTTGGAGTTGACACGTTCTCCTGCGGTCTAGCTTCCTGGATCTTTCTGTCTGCCTCATACAGTGCTGATGCCTGTATTCATGTTCCTTTCCTTAAAATGTTATTTTTCCTCCAAAGATCATAACGGCTTGATTTATTAACATAAAGTAGCGGAGTGCAGAGATCTTTTAGAAAACTTTACAACCTTCCCAGAATAAAATAAAACCGCTTTGGGGCCCTCCCTTGTGGTGCAGCGGGTTAAAGCACAGCACAAAGAAGCTAAAGCCACTTCTGCATGAGTTCGATCCCCGCCTGCCCCACCCGGAGGAGACCACATGGCGCGGCAGACCTCTCCTGACCCGCCCGCTGCTCCCTCAGCAGTGTACTTCGTCGATCTGCCTGTTCTGCTCCCCACTCTGTCTCTGGTGAAGCCTCTCACCCTCCACATCTCTGGCCTGTACCCCAGATCTATATGAATGAATAAATCTTTAAATAAAAAAAATAAAACCGGGCTCTCCCTCGTGGTGCAGCGGGTTAAAGCACAGCACAAAGAAGCTTAAACCACTTCCACATGAGTTCGATCCCCGCCTGCCCCGGAGGAGATCCACATGGTGAGGCAGACCTCTCCTGACCCGCCCGCTGCTCCCCTCAGCAGTGTACTTCATCGATCTGCCTGTTCTGTACCTCACTCTGTCTGGTGAATCCTCTCACCCTCCGCATCTCTGGCCTGTACCCCAGTTCTGTACGAATAAATAAATAAATCTTTAAAAAACAAACAAACAAACAAACAAAAAAAAAACAAAACCTCTTTGTTCTAGACTTTTAAGCTGGGGGTGAGGTGGGTCTCTTTCCTGCAGGAGTCTAGTGGGGGGGGAGGGTCGAAGGTCAGCGGGTGCGGGGGGGGGGCCCAAGGCCGGCTCTCCCTTGCCTTTGCCTGCCCGACACCTTTGTTGGCTCACTCTCGCCCTTGCCAGGCCTGCTAGCCAGCTTAAGTGCAAGTTAGGATGGCTATACCAGAGCCAGCAAAACAGCACGGAGAGCCGGAGGAGAGGGAAGTCGCTGGCATCACTGCTGGTGGGCACTGTTACTTGCATCTCCAAGGAGCTGGCTTCTTTTGCCAACCAGATCTCAGAGTCACCTCCTCCGAGAAGCCTTCCCAGACTGCCTTCCTAGGGGGCATCCCCATACTGTTACTCTTGTTTATCACTCTCTAAAGCCGTAATTATTGCCTGCCTTTCTTCTTCCGGTCCGAGCATACAACTCTAGAAAGGGCAGGCACCTTGGCTATCTCACAGGGTGTGTCCTCAAGACTTCGGCTAGTTCCTGGCACACGGAAGCTTTGTTTTTTTTTTTCTTAAGTCAACAGTATTGATTTAAAGTTACTGAATTGATTTGTACACTTGAATGCATCTATTTTCAGTGGTATAGCCTGGCAAACATGTACTCCTGTGTAACCATCACGCCAGCATAAACCATTCCCATCACCCCAAAAGTTCAAAAGTTCTCTCCTGACTTTTTTTGCAATACGTCTCCCCAACCCTCTAGACAAAACCATTTATTTCGTGTTTGCGAATTGAATCAATTATGAAATGGAAGAGACTGCCCCAAGGTGTGGGGGTGCTATTCATATGTGGGGTGCTATTCATATGTAGCACAGTACCCTGCAGTCTGCAATGCCCTTCTGCCTCACACATGTGAGGCTGTGGGTGACCAGAGGGACTAGTGACACATGCTAGAGTCCAGAGCCAAGGAGGGGTGTCAGCTGGGTCAGTTTGTGGGTGCCCCAGACTCACAGATCTGTGGACACCATGAAGGCTGATGAAAGGCAGCCCATGACCCCCCCTCCCCCCCAGCTCCCAGGCCTTCAGCCCAGCCTTAGAGATGCGCTGGGATGTGCAGGCTCCTGGAATCCCCTCCCCGGACAGAGCCTTCCTAGTCCCAAGTCTGATGGTGGGAAAAACACGAGGCCCGCAGCCCCTGGTTCTGATGCTCCCAGAGAACCAGACCTAGGTGTCAGGAGACACGGCCGGCCGGGTTCTGCCTCTGCTTTGCTGGGTGACGTGGGCAAGTCACTTTCCCTTTCTGGGCCTGTTTCTGTCTCTGGAAAAGGAAACTAGTCATGGCCGCGGGTTTGCTTCAGCTCCCCAGCGACCCTGCTGCAGGAAGGGTCTTCCCAGCCTTCTGAGGCACCCCTTTCTGCCATCCCTACTCCCTGGAAGGCCACTCCCTTGTGCCTACTGTCAAAATTCTGGTTTTTCAGCCTGCAGCTCTGGTCCTCTGCCTCTGTGATCTTCCTTGTAACAGAGTGTGCCAGCTTCCGGGGGGGGGGGCAGGGGCCCAATGAATAATAGAACAATGGGTGTGTAGTGAGGGGCTGCCCCTGCATCTCAGCTGATCCTCCAACCAAGCAGCATCAAGCTCACTTGGCAGGTGGGGGTGCTGGGGTTCAGCGGAAGGCCACGTGTCAGTCTGGGTGGGAAGGCCACGTGTCAGTCCACGTGTCAGTCGGGTGAGAAAGGCCCAGCTTTCTCACCCTTTTGCTCCCAACATGGTGCCTGGCTGGCAGGTGTGAAACACCTGTTTGCTGAATGACTGGGAAGTTACTGAAAACATGAATGAGTGCGTATCCGTGAGGCAACTTCAAAGCTTCTTTTGTGGCCCTGGCAGGGTGGAAGTGCCCTTGCGAGACGTTAGCTTTTACTGTCATCATAGCTTTTACTGTCATCATTTTCGCCTCTCACAGCTGCAGTAAGAGCTGTCCAGTCACGGGGCAGGATGCACAGGGCAGGTGGTGAGGGCTGGTCACCCCGTCAGGGGGCAGGCTCGGCAGTCCTCTGCCACCCGGGGCCAGTATTTGGGAACCCCAGCTGCTAACCTGACTCCCTCTCCTGCCAACCTGGAAGGCATGGGAGTTGGACAGTAGACCCATGCCCAGCCCTGCAGGCCCTGGGGCCCAAAGTCCAGGCCACTGTTTTCAATCTGAGTCTTCATAAACTGTAAAGTGGGGTTTCCCCCACAAGCAGCCCCCAAAGGCAATGGCCATGGGCTGAGCAGAGGAATACCCGTCTGGCATGGGGCGCGGGGGGTGGGGTGTCTTTGGGTGCAAGTCTTCCACGAACATTTCCCTTCCCCTGCAGATTGTGCAAGGCAGGCTGGCACACCTTCGGGAGCCGGGGAACTTCTTGAGAAAGGGGAGTGAGGGAAGGGTTGGGGACGGAGTGGCTTGGTGCAGGGAGCAGCGGCGGAGAGTGGGGCGCCAGGGCCAACCCCCCACTTTTCGCAGCCTAGACGTCCTACCACTCCCCCGTGTCCTCCTCGGGGTGACTCTCTTGGGACGCCTGTCTGGGAAGGGGACGTCCTTCCGACGCCCCCACCCTCCCCACCGCTCTGCGTTTCGATACCGGTTCAGGGTGCGGCTCTCGGCGTTTCTCCTCCCGCGGTTCCCCGATGTTCCCTTTGTCTCGGTCTCCC